AGTGATTTTTTAGTCGACGAATAATTAATCGACACAAATTGATATTAATTAAAAGATAAATTTGATATTAAAATCAGTCGACTATTTGCTATCGTCGAGTGAACGGGTCGTGTGTTTCTTTCTTCGTGTGATTTTTCAGTGGACGAATAATTAATCGACAGTGATTGTAAAGTACGTAACGGATATTAGTTAGTAGATACATTAATAGATTTCTTGTGATTTCTTCAAATGAATAGTTTGTATGTGAATCGAGTGTAAAATGTTGAAGTGACACGTTTGTAAAAAAAAGAATTAACTAATTAATTATTTAATCTGTGTCAGTCAGTGGATAACTTGTGACGTTTACATTAAAACTATCGAAAATTTAATAAAATAAACACTCATTACGTGGAAATCACATCGAAATGAAAATTCATGTATCTTTTTCAAGAAGCTACAGAAGTCGACAAATCTTTAAAAGGTAAGGTTTTGTGCGTGTATGTGCGTGCGTGCGTGCGTGCGTGCGTGCGTGCGTGCGTGCGTGCGTGCGTGCGTGCGTGCGTGCGTGCGTGTGTGTGTGTGTGAAAAAGAGAGAAAGAGAGAGAGAGAAAATGTAAACGCATGTTTATGCGCGCGTGTAGACAGCTGATCGTCGCGAGGGTCTCGCGTACCGCCTGCCGTCGGACAGTAAGTTGCGCCGCCCCTGTCTACCTTCCGTACGCGGCCCGTAATTCGCTATTTCTCTTTATAACTTGTAAACTAAACTCCGCACAAATTTTTGCCAAAGGAAAAATCGTCTCAAAATACGGTCAGGAATATGTATGTTTAAGAACACTATTGGGAACTGACATATGCACCATGACATCTGGTGGCAGAAAAATAAACTATTCTAAACCCTGCAGTCAATGTCCGCGAACCTGTGAACTGTGAAAACTGATTGATTTTCTGAAATAAAATTGAGTTTTCTCAATGGAAGGAGCAACATTTTCACCACGGTCGAAAAGCAAACATATTGAATATTACTCGGTTTACGGTTGTCGAAGCAACTCTAGAAATTTAACACTCAGTTTTCATTATTTTTCGAGAGCCGGTCAACACGTGGTGTATAGAAAGAATTATTTTGACAATTTGGAAAAGTATGACAAAGTAAAAACATGGATGCATGCTTTAAAAATACAAAACATTACCCGTAAAACAAAAGTGTGTTCGCTACATTTCAAACGAGAAGATTATATACTTCCAGATAAGTCAATATTCAGGCATCACTTAACCTCTGCAAATGTGGAACATGATTTTGTGGCATAATTAATACATAGTTATACAGAAATTAATTTATATTTTGATTTATAGATGCAGCCTCAAAAAGAAGGAAGTTAAAAAAAACCGCTGTTCCATCGTGCAACTTGCCATCAAGCAGGAGCCCTAAAAATGTGGAACGTGATAATGCTCGTTTGCAAAGAAGAAAGAACAGGAGCTTCAAGAAAGAAAATCTAAGAATAGAAGCTGAAAATCCTGTCGTTCTGCAGGTAGAAGATGACAACAAACCCATAGACAATCCTATAGTCAATTCTATGAATGACATTGACAGAATTGAGTCCGAATCTTCCACTGCTCCCTTATTTCAAGATATTGGAGTACAAGTAAATAGTGCTGATATCATACCAAAATTTTCGAACTTTATAAAGAACGAGAGAGATTTGAGTACTGTAACAGGAATTAATTCTTTCAAAATTTTGGACTGTATTGTGGAACTTGTAAAGCAGGCCTTTGGACATCAATTAGAGGAGAGCAGGGTCAAAATGAATTTATATGATAAAGTAATTATGACTTACTTGAAACTTAAACAGAATACGTCATATAGTTTACTGGCTGTTTTATTTCCTTGTTATACCGCGATAAATTGTAGACGAGTATTTTACGAGACGGTGAATTTATTGAGTGAGACTTTAAAAGTGGCAATTACTTGGCCATCAAGGGAAATTATATCGAAAAATATGCCACAATGTTTTAAAGAGTTTGAAGACGTTAGGGTTGTGTTAGATTGTACTGAAATATTCATACAAGAGCCAAAAAACTTTGTTGTCAGATACTATCTCATTCTAATTATAAAAAGTCACGAACTGGTAAAATAATGACTGGTGTAGCACCGGACGGAAGTATCGTATATACAAGTAAAATCTGGGGTGGGAGAGCATCAGACATGGCTATATTCGAACAAAGTGACTTAATCCATTTATTAGAACCTGGTGATGCAGTCATGGTTGATAAAGGATTTTTGATTGATGAAATATGTGCTAAAAATGGTTGGAAGCTTATAAGACCGCCATTTTTGAAAGACAAAAAACAATTATCAAAAGTCGAATCAATCAGGACAGCTAAAATAGCAAAGGCAAGAGTGCATGTGGAACGATCTAATCAAAGGATAAAAACATTCAAAATTCTAGGCGAAACAATGCCTGTGAAACTTGTTCCACATTTAGGAGACATTTTTACAATAATTTGTGCCACAATTAATCTCAGCTCTCCGATATTGAAAGATGATAAATTCATGAAATATCAATAATGTATTTCTTTGTAGACTTTCATATTCTTAATTATCAGGATGTTAAGAATGTAAAAAACTGAACAAACAATTGAGAAAGAAACGAACTATATTTATCACGTTAACATAATTATCATCATAATAATATAAATCATATTTTTGTATCAACGCAACTTTTCTTCATTATTGCATATATGTATTACTTTTAATAAATTATGCCTTTTAATTTTAAGGCCTTATATGTATACATAGTCATACGTATAATATATTACTTTATCTTTACTTTAAACTCTTTATTTCAATAACTGTAAATGGTGGTTCACGTAGTTGACGAGAGACCTTCGTCGAGAGTATGTATCACGAGAATCGCGTTATTAGGCCCGACCGGTACGCGTAGCGCGACGGGATAAGCGATGGAAAGAATCGTGACGGACATGAGCGGCGAGCTCGTGTACGTGAGTTGTCAGGGTGTTAGGATGGCTCGTAGGGACGACGGGATAATGAACGGAAAAAGCTGCAAGGCGGATAAATCAACTATGGCTTTTATTCACGTGTGTCTATTAGCACGTAAGAACAAAGAATTCATCCCGTAAAAATATTGACTTTGGTCTTTGTTTTATGGCAATAGAGGACGGATTAGTTTGTTAATTTTTTTAGCTGTTGTGCCTTATATTTTCTATATTTTCTATATTTTTTAATAAACATATTTCAAGCAACATAACACTATAGTACATGTTCTTAATTGCTGTCAACATCTCTGTTACAAAACTTTGGTTAAACTCGATATCTAAGATAAATATACTTCTATCAAAACTGGCATACATTACAAAAGAAGTTTTTTTCACATTTACGACAGCCATCCTTAACTGCACTTGTCCATAGTATCTGTGTTTCTTTTTTAGCTGTATCTTTCCGAATTTTTTCATCAAACTTTTACCTACTTCGGTCTCGACTACATCCAAAATGATCATAGTTTTACCCTTGAATGGGCATTTAATTTCTAATAATTCGGACGGCTTTTTGTCTTTGAAAATTATAGCATTAGGCGAATAAGCAAGCCAGGGATTCAATTTCGAGACAATTAAACCAATTTCAAATACTTGTTTTTTGGTGATATTTTTAAATGTATTCCGAGCTTGGTTCTCCATCATTTTCCTATATTCTGTGAATTCACTTTTGAAGCTTTTCGGGGTAAAATGGTCACCACACTTTTTCTTCCAGTTGGGATTTTTATTCTTTGTGTACGTATAAAGACCATAACAAGTTGAGCCTGTTACTCGAAATCTTCGCTCCTTGTGCCAATCCGCATAAAACAGTTTTGTGTCCACACATATTTTTATAAAATCATCGACTAATGTCTCCAGTGTTTTAATGCAGCATGGTTGCAGCTTATTGGTATTTAAGCCGCGAATTTTTTTCATGGTGTCGCTGTCTTGATATTTGAAGATGATTTCAATTGCCTTCCTTTCTGCACTGGTCACCTCTTTTTTCTCATCACCTTCAAAGGTAACAGGACTATGTCTTCCATTTGTTCTTTTAGTGAAAGCAGAATCCGGAAGTCTTTCTAAGATCCTGGCTTGGAGAACTGCAACGTTTTTTTTCTAACTTGAATTTTTTTGGAGGCAAACGAAGACAGTCGTGTTCTTTCAAAGGTGCTGATACGTATTGTGTCAATGCTTGCTCATGTAGAACTTTTTTCCATTTGCATGGTTGGTCAGTACACGATAGCGTTTCGAAATTTTCAAAATCATATCTAAAATAAAACATTCAATAATTTAAGTTAGGCTTATGTAAAGAAGTAATTCAAAATTAAATAATAAGTAAAATGTAATAAAGTACACTGTATTTCAATAATATAGAGCTAAGAATTTACCTTGAACAGTAAAGGAGAGCAGCTATTATATGTTTGCACTTTTCTCCGAGACCAGCTTTACATGAACATTTCATCGACACAACTTCACGATTTCTCCGGACTTTACCGGTAATTTCATGTGGAGATTGCTTCAAATGGGATGTTTGCAAACATAAAGCTGTCAAGTTGACACAATCACCTCTCACATTTTCAGCATTTTTTCCAATTTTTATAATGTGTTCTGCTTTGAGCACACGGTTTCCTTCTATGAAATTTCTGTGAGAAAGATTTGTTTGAGCATAAGAATAAATTTCTTCTAATATTAACATTTTCAGATTTTTTAATGAACTCGCATGTATTTTCGCATATACCACGGGTTTACGGCCGCCATATTGGATAGGCCACGCCTCTATGTCAGTTCCCAATACTTATTCTGAATCACCCTGTATAGAGTTAATACAAATATTAAAAATGTTATAACCATTAAAAAAAAAAGTTATTATAATTAAATAATTATTTGAAATAAATGAAATAGTGAGGGAGAAAGGAGCAGAATGGGGGAAGGGAGAAAGAGAGAAGAGGGAAGACAGAATAGGGAGGAAAGAGAGAGAGCGAGAGAGAGAGAGAGAGATTATAAGTTATATATTATTACGGTAATCAGGTGTACAAACTACTCTATATCACACTGCAGAAGAAGTAAAGTTTTTAATACAGATACAGATACACAATGAGTTTTGTAGCTCCTTGAACTCCTTTTCTATGAACATAGATTACAGCGTGATTAATCATGTAATGTCATAATATTTATTAAGTAAGCATGAGTAAGGCAGATGGGAATCAGCGTGGTTATTGGTACGCATTAATTATTTCTAAGAAATTTTCTTTATTCTAAGTCAAACGTTTCGGCTATTTTTTAGCCATCTTCAGTGACGTATAACAATAAATTTACAATATGA